TATCTCCAAAACTGGCAGAGATAGGTCCATAGTTACTATTGAAGTTGAATAGGAAGTCATATACTGGCAATCTTACTGTGACCTTGAAATTGACCTTTGACCTACTTTTCACCATGAACTGAACTTTGCAAATTTTGCTTCCCTTTTATCTCCAAAACTGGCAGAGATAGGTCCATAGTTACTATTGAAGTTGGATAGGAAGTCATATACTGGCAATTTACTGTGACCTTGAAATTGACCTTTGACCTACCTTACAATGAACTTAACTTTGATTGCACCATTTTTAGTTATATATATTTTTTGCATATTTTGAAAATTCTTGTTGATTGCATTTTTACAGCTTGTCAAGCACAAGACTGGTGGCTGCACCCCTTATTTTGTGTATATGGGGGTCTATACGAATGCGCTTCCTCCAGCTGGTGGTACAATATTCGGAGGCGGTATCGCCTCTCTGATCCTCTAGTTCCACTTGTATATATGTCCCATTTTGAACAAGTCGTACGATATCCCTTTCTTAGTCTCTAGAAATATCCTTTCATTGTAATTCCCTGTGTGGGCACATGCTTGTACATTTATGTTTGTTCCAGGAATTATATTAATGATAATAAATGGTGGGGGACAGCGGTGTGGTTGATATACAGTATATATATATATATATATATATATATATATATATATATATCAAACATATTCATGTTTCACATGTGGGTTATGTGTGTGTGTGTGTGTGTGTGTGCGTGTGTGTGTATGTGTGTGATGATACTGCAAAAGCGCCCAAAAATGTCACTTTTTGATTGTCTTGTTTTGCGGTTTGCCAATTAAAATTTTCTGGCCTGCCCATACTTACTACTGGTAGTAATTATTATAATGATAATTTATTTCTCAGAATAACTTATTGATAAGAACTAATAAAACTAATTTGATTGATATTTCTCTTTCACCAGACACGTTAGAAATGCTCCAGGATCTGGAGACAAAGTCCAAGAAAGAATCCAGCTTGAAGGAGGAGGAGAAAAAACAAGATGATGAACTGAGACAACTGAAACTGAAAGTGACCAAGTTGCAGCAAAAGAAGAAGTGGTTGCAGCAACAACTCAGTAAAGAGGTGTTTATACTTTAGTCCTCTAGCTGTTTTAATCTGAAAATGATAACGGTACATGTATTAGCATTCGTGTGTATAATAGTGAAAAATAAGGTGAATACATGAAATGAAAAAGGCATGGTAACACAGTATTACACTGTCATCTGACAACTTTGTAAATTACTCCATATATATATATATATATACATTTTAGTCTCCTCTACAACAAGTAGACATAAACAACATTGACAGTCTGGACAGAGAGGAGAAGTCAGAGCTACTGGATGCTGCTTATGCTGCTCAACAGAAAAAGTTGGAAGAGATGGTCGTACTCCACAGGCTAACAGGCATGACACTTATAAATAACCCAACTTAATCTAAATATTATAATTTATTTGTTAAATTTATTTAGAGAGAACCAGTTTTACCATTCTTGGCACTTCGGTGACCCATAATGTACCAGACATTGCGTCTTGGACATGAGAGATCATGAGGACTCTTTCATTCATTCATTCATTTGTTCTTTGTGTGTTTGCTCTCTCTCTCTTTTCTTTCTTTCTTTCTTTCTTTCTTTCTTTCTTTCAATGATTCACCAGGCAATTAACTAGTGTTTCTTTTATTCACAATTTCAGGTATTTCTATCGACCATATCAAACCAGAGGCGATACGTATCTGCTGGGATACCTCATATGGAGGGGAATTCTTCGAGGCTTTCTATGCCGAGGTGACCCGCTCCAGAGACAAGCTGACGGTCCAGCACCACTCCTTGCCATACTTTCTTCCCATCAACTCTCTGATCACCAGACACCTGAATACAGATATCACTGTGTTTGCAGAGATGGTGTCCAGGTATCTGAATGTGTTTGTGGAGAAGAGACAGGAAGCTGTCAATGCTGAGGTGAGAATGGAAAGTGTTGAGGGGTTTTTCCTAGTACAAGTACTGTGGTTGCGTAAATTTTATAGTTTTTTTTTTCTTCAATTACTTGGCTTTTTTTAAATCTATTGAAGTCACAAATCCTTTGATAAAGCTGGAAGTTCTAAGTAAAAGAGAAAAAATTCAACTGACTGTTATTGGCTCTTCACTAATATTTTGCTCACTCTTGTTTGAGAACTTTTACAACTTTTTGAACAACAGTCAAATTAACATAACTTTTTAACTTAAAATGTACCCATACTGAAGGCACACATGCATGCACGCACACCCACACACCTCCACTCGACCAAAAAAGTTTGCAAGCATCATTATAATTTTGAATAATTATGAAAAGACCATAATAGCTAAAATAAATATTTTAACCAAATATTGACAGATAATGCACCCACCATTCTTTACTTCTTTATGTACACAGACAATTTCCATAACCAGTATATAGTTTTTAACTTTTTGGTCGAGTGTATATACTAAACTTATTCGGTGATGACTAAGCTGCTAAATGCTCACTCGACAATTCCAGAAGGAGTTTGGGCTGTACATGTCCAAGCCTATCGCTGCCAGCCCGTCCTGTGACGTGATCGAGTTCAGCCTGAAGCCCACCATGGTCCCAGGAAAACTCCACACGCAGCTGTTCTATAGCGATCTTCTCCAGCCTCTGCCCACTGAGGTAGAGGTGGAGTGGAGAGGTGGGGCACTAGTGCATTAATCAATTAATTAATTAACTAGTTATTTACATACTTAACTTATAAATAAATTATTTGTGATTATCTATCTTTATAGTTAGTCATCAATATGTTAACAAATATACTTAGTAATTCTTTGGTGAGGAAAGTTGGGGTTCTAATTAATTGATTAATATATTTATTGATCAATTAGATAATTTTTGTGTTTTTCTACATTCGTAGTTAGTCATCAATTTGTTCATATATATTCATTTCAGGGGGTCTACTCCCTAGCTTTAGAGAACAGTATTGATTGTAAAAGACATCTTCCTCTGTTTTCAGGTGAAGAGGGTGTGCTATCCAGAGAAGACATCTTCAGAGTCAAACAGATATTTCTGTCAAAGTCATTATGCAGTGCTTTGGAAGAGTTGGTCACTAAAGTTTGATGGAGGAAAAAAAAACTGAAACTTTAAAGAGCTCATGTGCTGGTCACAGGAGCTTTTCAAACAGTTATTGGAAAGTGACCTTCATTGGGAGATCAAAGCAATAATGGGAAAACATGATTGTGACCTTCACTTAAGAAAAAAGACAACAATGTGAGAGTTACTTTGTTACCTACTTGTATCTTCACAAGTAGAGACCCCACAATAAAGAAGGTGACTGTTGTAGTTGATTGCTTACTTTTGCTATTTAACAGTGGAAGGAATAATTGCACTGCATTGCGAACTTTTCATTTCAAATGTTAGAAAGATATCACTGGGAAAAGCAATAATGCTTTGTACAGGATGTAATTTTTTGATTAAAAAAAAAAAACATCCATTGCTGCCTCACTTCCTCCTGATTTTTTGAGATGGTTCAATACAGATGTTTGATATAATTGTTTAGGAATTGAAAACGGGAACAATAAAAGTGAATAACAGATTATTAACAGTATACAACTGGTGTTGTTTCTAAAAGTTTTTTGTTTTTGGATATTTGGAGACAAAGTTAGAAGAATTAAACTTTTAAAGAAGCAAAAAAAAAATAATAATAATAAAATAAATAAATAAATAAATAAATGAAAATAATAATAAATAAATAAATAAATAAATAATAAAAATAAATAAAATAATAATAATAATGCAATTCTGGTCTCATGGCATTTACATGTAACTGAAAAAAAAAATATATATATATATATATATGTTGAACATTTATTATATATGAAGATGAAAATTAATTTGAAAAACAAAGCAAATAAATAGATAAAAAAAGTTGGTACAAAAGCACATCACTTACAGTTGAACATTTTCCATCGTGTTGCATCATAACAAGAACGAATAAACTCTTGATCCAATAAATAAACAAAAAAAATTTCAAAAGGCTGCAAATGATATTGGATTAGCTCCTCTTGGATATCAAAATATCAAAGTTGAAGGTCGTGACCTGCAGGTGCGTGCGCATATGGTCGTTACAAACAAAATGGCGGATGAATCAAACAGGTGAGCATCGAGCATTAGAGCTTTTCAATGGTTTTAGAGTTTAAAAAGGCCCAATTTTACACTAAAGCATAAAATGCAAAACATGATAATTATACTCATACTCAAAAGTTAATGAAATTTCATTTGAAAGGAAATACAGCAACTTTAAACACTTCTTTTGAGCTCGCATTCCTTTTCCGAGTTAAAGGAACGACGTTATCGGAACTTGTCAAATTTGAAGTGAAGAGAAGTATATTCCCATTGCACTGCATTGCTATTTTAATAGCTGTTCAGTAGTCAGCAGGGATTGGATTTTTATAATTAATATTAAAATGTAAAAAAGAACCTAGTTAGCTGTAGCTTGCAGTCTTCTCTCCGGACTTGGAAGTTGAATGTGTTATGGTATTCAGTGTTCACTTTAGTACTAGTATTGATCTTCATTTCTATCGATCCGAAAAGGGGCAACAAAGGATACACGGGGCATTGTTTTATATATCACCTGGTTTTGGTTAATAGTAAAGGTAACGCCGGGTCACGTTAAGGGCCACGGAAAATGTATATAAATGACATGTTTTAGTCTTTTTTTGAAGAAGCTTTAAACAAACACTGCACACCCTGCCGATTTTTAGGGTTAGAATAATAGAATAATTTGCACTGCTTTTTCAAATAAATGAGATAAAAATGAAAATGCAGATGAACATGACATTAAATTCTAAATGTAATAAGTGATTTGATTTTTTTTCATTATTTTGACATTGCACAATTATGAATTGTGAAATGATTCAAGCTATATAAAGGAGGCCAGTGTAAGATATTCCTATGAAAAGGACATATCTAGTGAATTTTTTTTATTAAAGTTAACTTGTTTCTTAAAAAACAACCTGTGATCCCCCATTCTTTATTACCCCAATGTAGTTCTGTACTAGTACATAAGAATCTGGGAAAATTAAAAAAGTCTTTTACCCATGCATAGTCCTGCATTTTTCAAAGTGCCATCCCTCCCAATATTGACTTCTAGGCCGCATGCTATTTAGAACTGTGTCAAGAAGGTTGACATGTGGCAAGGTTCCTCAGGAAGTGATAAATCAGATTATTTTTGGATGACATTAATTTTAAACATATATCTTTTAGAAAATGATGGAAAATTTTAATTGTCCACAGGTATGTTCAACAAGGGTTTATGTTAGTACTAGACACATGCTTTAAAATCTTACCCTTTGTCACTTCAATTTATCTTTAATCAGTCATGGTTTTTAAATAGAATTTTTCAAACATTTATGTATTTTATTTCCCAGGATGCCAGACCAGTGCAGGACCCCTGAAGGACTCGGCAGTGGTGTGCCTGCTGTCAAACTGAACTGCAGTCTTCCTTCTCACAGGGTCAGATCCCCACTGGACTCTCCCTTCAGCAGGAGCTTCATGTCTCCCTCAGTAAGTATACTGTTCACTACTGGACTCCCCCTTCAGCAGGAGCTTCATGTCTCCCTCAGTAAGTATACTGTTCACTACTGGACTCCCCCTTCAGCAGGAGCTTCATGTCTCCCTCAGTAAGTATACTGTTCACTACTGGACTCCCCCTTCAGCAGGAGCTTCATGTCTCCCTCAGTAAGTATACTGTTCACTACTGGACTCCCCCTTCAGCAGGAGCTTCATGTCTCCCTCAGTAAGTATACTGTTCACTACTGGACTCCCCCTTCAGCAGGAGCTTCATGTCTCCCTCAGTAAGTATACTGTTCACTACTGGACTCCCCCTTCAGCAGGAGCTTCATGTCTCCCTCAGTAAGTATACTGTTCACTACTGGACTCCCCCTTCAGCAGGAGCTTCATGTCTCCCTCAGTAAGTATACTGTTCACTACTGGACTCCCCCTTCAGCAGGAGCTTCATGTCTCCCTCAGTAAGTATACTGTTCACTACTGGACTCCCCCTTCAGCAGGAGCTTCATGTCTCCCTCAGTAAGTATACTGTTCACTACTGGACTCCCCCTTCAGCAGGAGCTTCATGTCTCCCTCAGTAAGTATACTGTTCACTACTGGACTCCCCCTTCAGCAGGAGCTTCATGTCTCCCTCAGTAAGTATACTGTTCACTACTGGACTCCCCCTTCAGCAGGAGCTTCATGTCTCCCTCAGTAAGTATACTGTTCACTACTGGACTCCCCCTTCAGCAGGAGCTTCATGTCTCCCTCAGTAAGTATTACTGTTCACTACTGGACTGTCTCTTCAGCAGGAGCTTCATGTCTCCCTCAGTGAGTATTACTGTTCACCTTGGAAAGAAAGAAAGATGAAAAAAAATTGAGATTCAGAGTGATGAGAACACTGGAAAAAACAGTACTAGGTACAGCATCACATCTGAGTGCCTAGTTGCTGCCCCCCCCCCCCAATTACATGTGTAAATAAATTAATAAATAAATAAATTAATTAATTAAAATGAAAGAAAATGAATAGTAGATAAAATGCAGTAATAAATTTAAAAGAAATATTTTAAAAGAAAAAATAATGATAATAACGATAGATATATTAGTGAAATGAAATCACATATTAACTGGTTGCTGATTGACAATAAGCAGATCATCATAAGCTGGCTTGGCAGTTATTACCTTTTTTGTGCCTTTATTTATGTTGCTACGGTCTCCATGGCAACTGGTAAACAAAGTAGATTGCTTCCTCTGTAGCTTTGTAACTGGTGCGGTATGACATGTTTCAAAGTGGTTTTAAGATTTATATGTTGCGTGTTGGTTGGGTATCTGATATTGGTGTCTTCTACTTTCTCACCTCCCCCATCTCTCTCTCTCTCTCCCTCTCCCTCTCTCTCTCTCTCTCTCTCTCTCTCGTACACACACATATACGTATATATGCATACTAGTATGCAAGTTCATCCACATAATACATCTACATACCTTTTCATATCCTCTGAAGTGCATTACTTTAGGTATTCTCTCACCCTAAAACACAGTGCTATTTGAGTCAGACAAGAGTTGCCATTCACATACCCATCATGGTAATGATTTTGGCATTATCCAAAATCAATTTCACGAAGAACAAAAGGGATCACAAAGTAAGACTGTATTAAGATTTTCCACTTGCTTGACATCCCTCATTGATTTTCTTCAACATAAAAAGAATCTGTCTGAAAGTGAACAAATACAATCTTTTCCAGTTCATTTTGCACTGCATAGGGACTGATGGAGGTTGTTATAATGCAAGCCAGCTAAAATCAATGACAAATAAAAGATACTTCCTGAGTGAGAGCAAATATGATCTTTCTCATTCATTTTCTATGGCCATAGAGCACAGAATGTGGTGTATTATAACGTGTCTACCTGGCAACTAATCAATCCCAGAGGTGATTTATCGTGTAATGTGGCATAAACTCATATTCTGACCAATGAAATATGCATGAGAGCAGCAACTTTGCTGAGCTTTAACTGGCTTCTGCACTGTATGTGTCTGGGTTGGGTTCGCAGAATGAGCGTTTGGAGTCGGTGTTAAAGGAGAGAGAGTTATTGTAAACAGATTGTTGGACATATTTTAGCCTTAGTGGAATATAATGCATCTGAAGATCAAGATTTTGTCAATAACCCATGGGAAAGCTGTAAAAGACCACTATTGTGGTGAAGTGTTAAAACAGAAATTATATATTTGAAATCATGCATCTTGAAGTGGAAGGATTTCACTGAAACAGACATATAAAGCTAGCAGACTGAGGAACAAGACTGCTACATAACTTCTTAGAGAGCTTTTATTGAATTGCTTGCAAAATGTACATTTATGGAAATATTGCTTTTAAAACTGATTTGAAGTAGTTTTGAAAATGGGCATCAATACATCAAAGGGAAAAGGAAAATTTCAGGTATTACACTACACATCAAAAGTTACAAACTGTTGTTATTTCTGATGAGAAATAACAACATTATTGCAGAAATCTTAAGTTTATGTTTGGATTTTTATAGCCATTGTGCTAATTATAATCATTATGCTAATAATCATGAAATTAGAGTAGTTTAAAAGTACTTGGAATTTCTTTGACACACCAAGTTGTGAGATTTCCAAGGTACTAATTAGTATAATTTTCCACCAGGAACCTAAAATGAATATCTGTAGTTTGAACAAGTGTCTTTAGGTCCGAAATTACGGAATCCGAAATTACGGAACCCAATGTCTTCTGACAGAATGCAATATTATTATTATTATTATTATTATTATTGTGTGCAAATCTCTTCAGGGCCGTAAATTCTGGAACCCAGCATCTTCTGGTCCCTTGCAGAATGTGAAGAACACCCTGGGGACGTTTGGCACCCCCTCCTACCCCTCCCCCCTGGACAGGATCAGGACAGGTGAGGGCAGTTAATGGAGTTTTTTTATTCAGTTAAAATAAAAAAAATATATATATATATATATATATATATATATATATATATATATATATATATATATATATATATATATATATATATATATATATATATATATGATGTGTGTTCATAATCAGATGTGAAATTCAATATGAAAAATGATATTGTCAAATATCTGGGTTGCTTTAGTCAGGTGAAGATTTAGAATTGAATCTATGATGAATTTGAAAAAGAAAAGAAAGACAAATAGAGAGAATCAAGAATTTACCTAGCCAAATAATAATGTTGTACAGCATTTGGCTACAAATAACTTTCTGTCCCTGAAAGTAAAAACAGATTACATGTTGTATTATTTGTATGTATTTGCACCTTGAAAGACTAAATCAAGAGACAAAATGGACAAAATAATATTTGGTATAGATCAGTGTAGAAAATAATTACATGTTATTTCGTAGGGAAAAGAGAGCGTGCAGCACAGTTAGGTTTGGACAGCAATGATGAAGAGCCGTCGTTTGAAGGGAACCAGTCGTTCCCTAAACCTCTCAAGTCCCAGTACAAGGTTGACAAGACTCCTGAGGTCAAGTGTGCTCTGGATGGGTTCAAAGGTATCTGGAATGTTTGGATCACTTGAATTAATAAAGTTTAACATGTATTCCCTGTTGGTTTGTACTTATGTCATTTCATCTTGAAGGTCATAAGCCTATGGCCTTATAAATTTATTGATTTTGATCTCCTCTACCAGAGAAAGATTTCATTATTCTTTTCATTTTCTGAGGGTTTATTATTTTGTTTCGACTGATTTTTTTTTTGCTTATATGCTTGTTGCCAGACCATCATTTTCTCTGTTTGCTGAAATTTATTTATTTATTTATTTATTTATTTATTTATTTATTTATTTATTTTTGTACCTGATGTTGGTTAATGGATACACTTGTTACCAGTTATTTATTTTCTCAACTTGAACAGTTTTTACAATAAGCACAATTAATTAATTAATTGATTGGTTAATTAATTAACCAATACATGATATTTTTGGTGATTTCTTCCAGGTGATGGCCTCCACGAGTTCAGTTTCTCCCCAGGGTTATCCAAGGGGACTTTCTCTCCTGTCCCAATCCCAGGGCCAGACCCCCGGGCTAGTATGTCCCTGGGGACCAGCTGGTCCTTCTATAACTACGTGGGAGGAGGGGAGGTCGGGATGACCTTTCCCACATCAGTCAGGAACCCCAACAAAGCCATTGTGACTATCAAGGCTCGTAGCACTGAGGTTTGTGTGTGTCTTGATGAATGTTGTTGAAATTTATATTAGCTTACAAAGAATGGGACAAAAAAGAAGGCAAGACAGATGTGTTACTTACTTTGTTACAATTTGAATTTTAGTCTCTTTCATTCTTTTATTCCGTTCCTAACACAGGTTATAATATGCAAGTCTTTGCTTCAGTCTGACATTGTGCTAATCAGACTTGAACATTCCAGTGAATTTTGCTATTTAAAAAAATTATTTAATAATTTTTTTCGTGTTCTTATGCTTTAGATTCTCATGGCTAATGAAATGGCCTGTGAACTGTTCGCCTACAATGAAGATGAACTGATAGGTGCACGTCTCACTGACCTAGTGCGACTGAAGAAGAAGGAACAGGAAGCACTGATGGAGACGGAACTAGAGGATGATGGGAAGGTTGTGTCTGTGGCGGGGAAAGTGGTAAGTATCGAATTAGGTTGACTGTTGCTAAGTGACATTTTCATCATTGGGTAAGATTACTGCAGTTTTGGCTTACAGAAATCAGAAGTGTTTCATCGAGATTTGGATTAAAAAAACTGCCTGCTACAGAGAGAAACCTGCTGTGTTTAGCAATTATTTGTTTTTATCATTATTGGCATTATTATAATTATTATTCTTATTATTATTATCATTATTATTTATTTATTTATTTATTTATTTATTTATTTATTATTATTATCAATAGTCAGGATGTATTATTTCCTATTATTTCCAGTTTGATGCAGTAGACTCCAGTGGGGTGGTAGTACCAGTGTCTTTGTGGTTGAAGAAGCTCCCTGTCACGGAGGGAGAACTGCGCTGTATAGCAGTAATGGAGCCAGTTGAGAGGACCACAGCTTCTGTGACCTTTGACAGCACTGTGAGTTGGATTCCAGTCTTCACATGAGCTTAAATATCAATTTTTTTTTGTATTTATACTGAAAAACCTGAATATTTGGGTGCTGTTTTTATCTCCCATGTACAACTGTGTGACTTTAGCACTTGCATTTTTCCAAATTTTTTATGAAAATCCAAAATGAAAATAAAACTAAAACAACTACATATATGCAGGACTGAAAATTTAGTGACATTCTTGTTTTTCATTAGTATGATGTCAAAACTTCAAACCAATTGTGTGAAACCAGTGGCTTAATATGTACAGTAATACTAATAGACATTGTTATCTTTCTGTTTCTAGGGCACCGTTCTCCTCTGTGACCAGCAGATGGCGTCACTGCATGGCTACAACTCACCAAATGACCTGATAGGGACAAAACTGACCAGTTATATCCCAGCGGTCAGACTGCCCTCCTCTGGCTCAGCGCTGACCAAGGTCAGTAAGGAAACACAGAAATGTGTGTTTTAGTAATTTTTTTTCTGAAACATTAAAGTGAGAAACAACTACTGAAATAGTCCATTTGGATTTAAAATTTTGGTGAAGTCCTTGTTTTTCACAAGTATTAAATTTTTTGGGGGGTGATCAGAATCACCATCTTTGGAACTTTTTTTGTTTTGTTTTGTTTTGAAACAGCAGTGTTTCAGTCTTACCAAGTTAGTGAGAAGGGCCCACAGGTTAAGCATCACTTGACAACCTTCTCATGTTCAGCTTGAAGACGCTTTTGTGATAAAAGCAGAAAGTATCTTTTTCACAAAATTGTGTTCAAAAAGTGAGTGAGTCTCATCACCAAAAGTCTTTCTAAATTCAATTTCCGAATAATCACGATAAAGATATCAGTGATGTAATGCAGTTATAGCTTGTTACTTTGAGAAATAACACGCTGTTGTCCCCTTATGATAATCTGAAGGTTAACCATTTCCTCTGTGCCCATGTAGTCAAATTCTTCCAGATTAAACCTGAAATCTATTTGGGTGTTGTAATTTTAGTCTCCCTGGACTCCCTAAATAGATCTGCCTTCCTTTGGTACTTGCATTTTCCAGATTTTATTAAAAAAAAAACAACAAAATCCAGTTTCATGTCTGTATATCAACATGGTGTATATCCAATTTGAACAGGAAATAAAGAAACAGAGAGCAACTGGAAGAACAAAAGATGGCGCCACATTCCCTCTCAGTATTGCTATCAGGAAGACGGATCCTGCCAAAGAGACGGACAGACTACCACCTCAGCCTCCTGACTTAAACAGCATACCGAGACCCAGCACTGGGGGTAGGACATTGGAACTCTCCTGTCTTCTAAATATTAATAGACAAATATGTCCCTCTAGCTGATTTTAGCATGATACTCTTACCACTATAATTTTCTTAGCATGAAAGGAGATATTTTAGTGATCTATTTCTTGCATGTTTTATTTCTTTAGAATATATGTATGTCATGGCATTTTATGTTCTAAGGTACACTAAAGGGTTAATATTTACTTTTTAACATTTATTTATCCTTGTTTTACATTGGCCCGTATGTCACCTGTCCTTCATTCTTAGTTGTGGCAAAATCTTTGCATGTGTTTGTTTTCCTTCCCTCTCCATCCTCCAATTCACAGTATTTGATCTCTTTATGGCATGTTTATGCCATTTTCTAATACCTTTTTTTAGTTTACATCCAGCGGGGGGAAAAAAAGAATCTGAGATCAGATGTATAACACCCCATTCTCATAGATTAGATCGACCTACATTGGATCGACCTAACTCCCTGGGGGTTCACGCTAAATAGCTGTCAGCCGGGCGGACACGAAAGTTAATTACCCCTTAAAGCTTGTAGTAGGCGGGGACGGACACTTAAGGGGGATTATCTGACAGTAATCTAGTGAGACTCCCCGCGGTGATAGATCGATCTAAAAGTTGTGAGAACAGAGCCTTAGTCACTTAATAACTATGATAGTATCACTAATCTACTGCTGAAATCAGAGAAGTATCGTAGAATGTCAAGTCTGATTTTTAAATTTAGCAGTAGGTTGGAGAAAATGTCATAGTAATTCAAAGATAAAAACATCAACTCTTGTTAAAACAGTGTCTAAATTTGAAACAAGAGGCAAACTGTTTTATTGGGGAGAGGAAGGAGAAAAAACCTTGTAAAATGGACCACTTCTTTGTTTACAGCCTGATGTCCCTCTTTGCATGCCTTCCCCTTTATTTTTTTATTTTCATTTTCTTCCCTGTGAAGATTCTAGTAACACATCTATGGTGGTGGGAGGGAGAACACCTGATGTCGATGTGTCACTAGAGCCCTCTGGTGGCTGTGTTAATGACGCCTTTGAGAGTAGTTTCACTCAGGACCAATCAGGTTTGTGAGGCACTGCTTGAGAAGATTTATCAATAGGTTTAATACATGTGGATGAAATTGTGATGATGGGTTTTGATACTTGTCCGTTTTATGTATCATTTTGTGCTAGTTATATGAAACTAATGCCTTAAAGTAATGGTTTTTATGTGATATGTAAATGTTTTTTGTTTTATGATCAATGTCAACATCAGAGTGCTCTGTAAAACAGCATAAATTTCCGAATCGGTTAATGAATAAATGGAATGCAGGTAGATGAATAGACTATATAGATATATACCCTGTCTCTAGCTTCCTGCTTTTTGCTGATTGTCAGGGGTTGACTGAATAACAAAGTAGTGAATGCCTTTGTTTTTATAGATGTTTTTAATGAGTATCTGTTCTCTCTCTCTCTCTCTCTCTAGTTACTCTTTAACTGAGGGTCCTTGTAACAGAGAGTCCATCCTCCATCAGAAAAATCCTCACATAAGTGGGTCATAATCTAGAGCGAGGCTTACCTGTACAAATGAATGGGAAGCGGACTCTCTATCGTGGGGGACTCTCTGTCGCATCACATGTACTCTCTCTTTCTCTCTATATATATATATCTCTTAAGCATTATTCTACTAGAGGCATTATTATTATTATTATTATTATTATTATTATTATTATTATTGAGTAGCATCAAACCAGTCCATCAGCAGTCCCATCCAAGGTGACGTGTACACAGGAACAGTGTGGGTGTTTGCTAACATCAGCGGTATGGTCACCTTTCTACCTGACGGTACCATTCACACCTGTAACCACTACTTTGCTCTCATGTTGTTTGGGTATACACAGCAGGAGCTGGTGGACAAGGTGAGGAGATTGGGATTGTTAAGATAGATAGCCTC